ACACATAAAGAACTTCCTATGACCTCAAGCAATCCGGAACTAAATATCCCGAAGCTAAAGCTACTGAAAAGTGCTGCGTGCATCCTAGAACATGTTACAGTGCGGGGCATTTTCACATAGCCTACCTTGGAAGAGCCGTGGCTAGGTACCACCCCACTGGCTTTGCAAAGCAAACTTGTAAATTTACTTTACAATTAACTCAAAGACAACTAAAAATGCTTATCCAGGTCCTGCAGCGTTTGCGGCGGCAAGAACAAAGGTTATTTTTCTCCAGATAACAGAATATAGGGACCATACGTCATGAAATGCTGGATAAATATATAGATTATGTCCCTCTCAAAATGTAGTCATGAGTAACAAGTGAAAGCCATAAATAGTGCCTTGGTTCCCACTGAATTCCATTGCACCAAGTTAAATACAATGTCTGTTGAAAAAAACAATGATACTCAGTTGCAAGTCTCCTCGTATCCACCCAGTGAATCACTAAGTAGAGAAGACTGAGGAAATGTTAAGGCTTATTTTAAATTACAGTATTATCCACCCGTCAGTGAAATTGTCTTGAAAGTTCATATTGAAAGGGTCAGCTTTTTCTTCACCATCTATGAAATGATGTTAAATAACAATCTGAACCATCCAGGTTCTGATTTGGCCCAGATAAAGCATTTCAGAAGGCAATCTGAAACCCAGGTGCATAGCTCTACCAGATTCCTAGTTAGGAAGCACTAGCAGGAATTCAGCAAGTCTTTCTTCTTTCTAATGCTCACCATTGTCTTGAGTAACTCTGTACCTACTTTGCTCATTACTATATATACAACTGCACCGGTACTGCATGCAATACTATACAGTCTCCAGAACTGGAAGGTACATATACGTGAAGTTACGTATTTCTAAAAGACTTCTTTCAACCCTTATAAAACTCCCTTTTTTTAATTGCCCCAAAACAGATTTAAGCATTTTTGACTTCTCCCTTCTCTTTTAAATGTCTATGTTACTTGGAATTTCTGAATAATCTTATGACTAAACTATTTATGAAAGTTGTGTTATTCATTAAAATCCTACCAGAGCAGCTGCAATCCCATCTTCTTGCAGATTCTGCTGCATCTTGACATACAGACCATAAGCTAGACCAACAGCATTAAGCGTACTGCTTCTTTACTACTTTGAAAGTTCAATAATTAAAAGAATTGGCCTGTTTAAAAAGTGCACAGTCTGACAATTTTGTTCACCTTTTTTTTTTTTTTCAGAAGTCCCTGTTTCTTTATTATGGCACAATCTCTATCAATGAGCATAAACCGTTGCCTCAAACCTTCAGAAAACCTGATCCACTAAACTGAACAGCAGTGTGCAAATGCAGATCTTGAAGGTTTCAATCTCTGACATCGAGTCTAACTTCAGAATATAATAAATCTTAATTAGAACACATTAGTATAGTGGACAACATTGTTCAGATCAGCACACTCTACATAAATAATTTTAAGAGTGGCCTGTTGAAAGATTTTCGAGGACTAATGGGACAAACGATGCTCGCGAGTAGTGTCATTTTTTTATTTAAAAGCATGTGGTTTCATCCACAAAATGTCTTGTACTTATACAAAATACTCTATTACAACCGAAGATAAGCATTTACACGCTGTACTTCATCTACAAACAGGCTTTCCAACTTTCCTTCTCAGGTTTGCACTGACACCTACTGGGGCATATTTGTAAATCTCAAAATCCATAGACTGGAGACACAAGAAGCTTTTCAACTCAGGAGTGAACAATATATGATTTAATTAGTTGGCTCATTCTGCTATATATTTGCTATTTAATTTGACTGCTGAAAAAAACTCCACAGTTTTTGAGGAAAGATTTAACAAGCCATAAATTAAAATATCAGAGAAGATGCAATGTTCCAGCTGTAATTATGGAAATTCTATAGAAAAAGTGTTACTTAGTGTTAGCATAGAAAGAAGCAGAGCAAGAGCAAATAAATAAGCTTTCTCCCTCCTTCCTAAGATTAAAAAAAAAGCAATAGGCCTTAGACAGAAAACATTCCAAGGAGAACAGCACATAGGTTCATTGTTAAAACAAGGCAGTGAAAACCAAAACAAACCCTTCAATATTTCTTCAGTTCCTCAGTTTGTTATTACTCCTAAACACAGCAGCAGCTGATTTCATACAGCAGTTCCAAGGAAGATACCAGTTTCTTGCTATGTATTCATTGGAATAAAAAGAGTAAGAAAATATTCCAGTGATTACATGACATCCAAACCCACTTCCAGTTACAAAGAACAGTTAAACCTACAGTCCAGTAAGCAAAAAGTTCTATGCGTATTCTGGCACAAAGACAGATTGCAAAACTCACTTGCCATATTGTTAAGTTAAATGCTGAGGAACCATTCCAGCTCCTATTGGAATCCGACACAAATTTCTATCAAGTTTAACAGGGATTAAATAAATTCTCAAGATTTTTAAAACTATGAAATTCAGTCATGTAAATATTGCAAGTATAAGGTAAAACACTTCCTTCGTGCACCAATGACATAAAAGTAACTTTAAAACTATTCATTTTTCTATTTATCCCCGATGGTAGAGACTATTGAATAACAAGAACTTGAATCTTACAAAGAAACCCACTGTGGAGCACTATTGTGTCCAGATAGACCACAGTCCCACCTTGCTAAAAAAATGCTGAAGACAGGATCTTTTTTATCCCTCAGATGTATTCTGTTTTGATATAGTATTAGACACATCAGGTTTGTTTTGGCTTTTTTAGCATCTGGACAGAAAAAATGGGTTTTCCTGTAAATGTCGTCAAGTTGCTTGAGAGAATTAAGCATTTCCAAGTACCTCAAAACCTACAGCATACCATATAAAAAAAGTGAAAGTTAATTAATAAAATAATTCAGCAACACATAGTTTTTATGTAGTCTCCACAATGAACAAGAGTGGGCAAAGAGGCAGATTAACAGAGTGCAAAGTGTTTTCAAATGATCTTCAGCACAAAAATACCTGTATCATTCTAAAAGAGGAACACATTTTCACCGTTAGTACTTAGAAAATTTCCAAAGAATCAGGAGCACACACCCCAGAAGATTTTAGAAATACTGCTTTATTTTCCAGTGAATATCCAACTTGCGACACTTGTATCATTGCTTAAAAGCCCTCAAACTGACAAAATACTAAAATCTACAGCTCCAGTGCACAATTAATTAGATATCTTAAATCTTAATAAAAATTATCAGTGCAAAAGTAAAAATGAATTCAGTATGCAGTTAAATGCAAGATATTTGGGCTTTGAGCAGGTATACATCAAATAATCTGGTAAGAGAGAAAACATTTTCAGCCTGTGCTCAAAACAATCAAAACTATTCCACACCCAACTCTAAAGACAGGCAAGAACTAACTTTTTCTTCTTAAATGAAAGCCTGAGCCTAGTTACAACATTCATCACGGGTACATAAGCTGAAAAATATTACAGAGGTCACCTTCTATTCAAACAGGGGTTGTTCTAAAGAGGCTTTCCTATTTTTCATGTGTGGGATACTTTTGAGACATCTATGTTTTTTCCGTCCACAACAGAGAACTAACAACATTCCAGCGTGCCCCAGTGTCGGCAAGTCCTCTTTTCGGTCCAGATACAGGATGATGATTGATGAAGCTGTTGGGCCGACAGTAGCGGGCAGAGCAGCTTGGCAGGAATTCAGTGTTATTGAAAGAAATCTCAAATACTTATTCCATCTCCTCTGCTAACTTTAATCACACTATCAACATGCTGCCAGGAACGGAGCCTTGACACCAAGCCATAAACTTACACAAGCAACCATTGTTGGCATATTACCCTTGCAATACAGGTAAAGGGTAAATTCTGTTTATTTTTACCTGTTTCCATTCTATATTGGACACCAGCTAAATTATGGAAAGATATTTTCTGTACTAACGGTTAGCTTGCAGCAAATTTCATTAAGGTACTATGTCTCATTTTGCTTGGTTAATGAACTGATTAAGTTAACTTCTTCAGTTACACCGCTGTTGACTGCAAGTTTTAAATATCAGAAAGCAATACAGGAGCTTCACATACCCTGCAAGAGTAACAGAAATAAGAAAGCAGATCAGTACTACAGGCATTTTACCACTAATCTGCTCGCTTGTTATACTGATAAACAAAAATCTTTCCTCAGTTGGTTTATAAAATTCTGACAAGCTTATCACAAGTATCTTATCATGAGTAAACCAACAGCATGTCAAATATTTAAGGTAAATAGTGTAGTAGCTACAAAGCTAATACAAAGACTGATACGCTTCTCATGATTACTTTTGTGCTCACTTTGGCTTTGCTTAGAACAGTAAAGCTTAAAAAAAGAGAGGCTTGAGACAAGAGAAAATAAATTGTTGTCCAACCTCAATTAGCCATATTTCTGCTGGTAAAAAATATTTAAATCTCAGCTCTACTTCACAATACTGAACATACAAACCAAAAATTGGAATTACAACTGGTTTTAAAACTCTGTTGAGATCTTTCATTGCTAAAGCTTCAGAGTAAAGTATTGCATAAAACAAGGTGGTTTTCCTGAAATCCATGAACAGGGTTTACAGTTTTCCCAGTGAATTCTCAGATAACTGTGGCTGGAACCTATTACACCTACTTTTTGGGAAAGGGCTGTGGCTGCTCACTGACATAGTTAGTATTACATTAGTCTCTGTTTTCCCAAACGATATGATACTCTCTGCAGATGGGAGAGAATTAGAGTTTGCAACTCCCTGAGCTGATGTAGTCACACAATGTAATTTCCAGTTCCACCTTCCAACAAATGAAGAAATACTGGCATTCCACCTGCCCTGAACAAAACAAGCATGGATAGGTACTTAAGTTGAAAGTATGCAAACCTTTTCTTCCCAGACAAAACCTGTAGAGCAAATACTCCTTTTTTATTTTGTGTTTCAGCTTTCCAAAAGAACATCAAGTCAGATGCAACTGAGTATTGGCACAAACCCAGCATTATTAAAAAAGAAAGGTCTTAAAAAGAAGCATATTTGGCCAGTTCCTTCTCCATGTCAGAATACTGCTCTTTAAGGCGCTCCATAGCTTTTCTGTGTTCTTCATCTACCTCCGCTTGTTTGCTTTGTTGTTCTTTCATGAATTCCTCCCAGTGGGCTACGCATTTCTCTTCACGAGCCACCCGCTTGTCTGCCTGAAGCTGAGAGGAGAAAAATTAGAAGTTTTAACAATAATTTCCAGATTAAAACAGAGAGTTTAATGAGATCTACATAGTGTTAACAGTACCAAAGAAACTGGGCTTTTACTTCATTAAAGTGAAACTAGCAAGAACACACACAAAAAGGTGAAACTAAAAAGGAAACATTTATTTTTATGAAGTATAGTCAATCCAAAACAAATTGTAAATTGTCTACAATATTATTAATGTGAGAGCATTAGCAACAATAGTTCTTCTATGCTACAGTCTGGTGAAAATTAAATAAATAGATGGAAAGACACTTTAAAGTTACTGGTTCACTTCTGTTGGCTACTAAAGATCCTATTTGTTGCATTATTTTCTCCTCTGACTACTGACAATGTTAAAAGTACTGCAAGCAGCTGGTAAAAGTCTGTACTATCTCACAAATATTTTCTTTTAAAATAAAGCTCTAATTTTGCGAACACGGTATTTGGTGCTTTTAGCTCCTTAGGTATGAAAAAAAAAAAATTAAAAAAAAATCAGTAAATGGACACTTTTTTTTTTTCCTTGTCTTTTTCCCCCCCTCTTCCTTTCTTGTGTTCACACAGGAAGAATTTGCCTACTGACACAAAGTGACTCAGGAAGTCCACTGTTCTGAAAGTAACCAAAAAATAAACAATTTAAACAAAGTGCATCTAATTTGCCCTTAAGTGGTCTTAAAGAACAGAGAATCTGCATCTAGTATAGCCAGCACAGGCAGGCCTGTGTTATATACGATACAGACTGAAAATGCACTGGAAGCGTTAGCATAGCTAATTTATGAGGAAAATAATTGGCCCACTATAGTTTGTATTTGCGAGTGCTAGACAAAATTTTAGAGCCTTATGTATGCCCATTATTTAGGTATATATGAATTACTAGAGCTTAAAGGGTACACTTCAACAGTCAAGACATTTGAGGTTTGATGTCAAATACATGTAAATAAAATGCTTCTGTGTTTCAGAACAAATTATGATGGTTAATAAAACATAAAAATTATATGTGAGCCTCCAACACAAAAAGGAAAAAATAGAATATAACAACATGGATATTCAATGTTTTTAAACTGTCAGTTTACGTTTCTGCTTTAGCCAGCTAGATCTCACTGTGATTCATGTCTTCCTTCATAAATAAGTTATTTTCCCCCTTACACTTTCATACTGCTTGGCTTCTGGTAAGTCAGATTCCTTTCACTCTCTTACCTTAAAATAAACAAATAAACTTTAAAAACTATAAAAAACCATAACAAATCTAACATAAATCTAGCTATCTAGAAAGAAAGATCATACACATATCAAATACGCATGTAAAAATGGGATGTACTTCTGTGGCTTGCTTGCATGCAGTATTAACAGTCTGGCCTCCTTAGATTATAAATGCTGATGTCACAATTAATCTAGGCACTTGTTCTTATATTTGCTCCATCTCTCAGCAAAAGAGAGAATTCATGCTTCTTTTATCTCCTTTTTTTCTCCTTTTTAATATATTAGCAATGATTATTTTTTACATACAGTACTTCTGTGTAGGAATAAATACTATCATACAGCAACAATAGACAGTAGCTGGGCCCCTGTATGTGACATGTGACATATTAAGAGACCAAGAATTTAAACTACCTTTGCTCTGATGCTTTGATACTGATGCCCAGGAAGCACTTCTGTCTTACCAGAGAACACAAAAATATTATATGCATTCTGAATAAATACATATCCATATTTCAGGAATGGAGAAGAATGGGTTTTTCTGAAATCCAGAAAGCACTTGCAGTAGTAAGAAATAACTTCTGATCTGTTAAAATTACTATTTTTTACTGTCCTAAAGAAGGAAATTATGTTTTCATGTTTGAAAATGCAGGTACAGTTGCAGGAGAAAGTAATCTCTTTTTCTCCTTAAAAAAAAAAAAAAGTTTGGAAGTTCAGTGTTAATTTTCATTATTTTTAAACTTGTAACTGCACGACCAACTGAACTATGTAAAGGATAAACTGAAATAAATTCTTGCCCATGCACAGTGAGCAAATCACTTAAAATGAAATAAAGATTTACAGAACTCTCAGATTGCTGAAAGTTTCTAATTACAAATTTCGGATTGCTGGTAATGATTCAAAACCCAGAAACAGACAGAATGATTTTTACGTTCAATACTTTTGTTTCCAGGGCTGCCACCTGGAGGAACTGTAACTTGTAAACTAATAAAATATCAAAAAGAACAGCACATCAAACATGAAAATCAGTACACTTTCACAGAACAGCCTTCTAGATTACAGCCTAATTTTAATTCCTACCTTTTGTAATTTAAAATTACTGCTAAAACAAACAAAAATCTGTAAAATAACTACAGTCTAAACTTACAAGCAAAAAGGCCAACCAGCCAAACAGAAAGAACACAAGTTCGTTCTGTCAGACAATTAAGTCTGCCCCTTAAGTCAGACTTAATTACAAATTAGAAAACAGCATCTAATAAGCCCTGCATAGCCATTTCAGAAAACAAGTAAAGTGCCACTGCTCCCCTCTTCCAGTCAAGAAGTGTCAATGAAATTGCTTTGGTATTTAATTGTGTAAATATACCAGTGCATGATAACAAGACAGAAGCCAATATTACGATACCAAGTTCAGGCTTCAGAACAACACATTTCATTTGTGGTAAAACCTCATGACTTTTGTAACACGGGAAACCTGCAGCATGAACTAAAGCACGCAGACAGATGTACCCGAGACAAGAGGAAGCCTTAGAGAACTCATTATACGGTACAACATTGGTATGTATGATTCATGGTATCGCTACATTATTTAGCCAGGAAGCAAAAAAGAGAGTCTCTATAATTAGCTATAAATTGTAATGTTTTAAGCATTAGACAACCCAATATTTCCCGCTATGCTGTAGATTTCTATTTGAACTAAAAGATTGTTTAACTGACAGCAACAGTACATTATGCTTTAGGCTTCTACTTATCTGTGTTATTGACTGGCACTTGCTGTCATCTATTGCACACACACAACATTTTTTTTACCCCACCTGAAAACCTGGCTGTTAATTTTGAAAAATTTGGATAGATTCTTTTGTTTGTTTGTTTAATCAGAGAATCATGTCCTCACCCCCCAACACTCTCAAAACTCCAGCTCTATCATCCTCTAAAGTTCCTAGCTCCAGACCACACTGAGACAGCTCTGTCCTGTTTTTGATTGCTGGCTATCCATTCTTTCAGGAATTTCTCTTCTCCAAACAGTATTTCAGCTGCTCTGCTAGAAGTTTCTTCAGTCACCCAACAGAACATAAGCCATAGCAAGCTGTTCACTTTTCACACATAACCTGAATACTTGTCCTCTATCTCTCTCTTTCAGTATAAGTTCATAAATACAAGGGTTTGGGAATCTCAAACTAAGCTTAGAATCTGTTCTCTGTTTGTAACAATCCCTACTACTTTTATGACTAATTTTTTTATAAGCTACTTAGACATCACTAAATTTGGAAGATTTTCAGCTTTTATGTTCATGTAAGAAGTTTAAAATAGTTTTGAGTTAACGTTTCATAATTTGGTTTAGATATAAACCAAAGCTTCTCTAAATTACAAACATAGTTGCTGCCTTATTAATTCCTCTTCTAGGAATTCCCTTTGGTGTGTTAGCAAATTTACATATTTTGGCAGTGACGTCTTTCATATTTCTTTTATATCAACACCTAAGTTCAGACATTAGTTATTTGGAAAAAATCTAAACTGATTATGAAACTATTTTTTCACTCAATAGTGCATATACTGCTTGAAGCTGAAAGACAGTAAAGCCTTCTTTTATACAGTATGGACTCACATGAGTTGGTTGTATTTACTCCCTGTTTTACTGCCATTGGTTATGCAAAAAATTAACATTTTTAAAAACATCAAAATTTTCAGTCAACTTTATTTCTAGTATTACTTGTACTATTTTTGCTGAAATTAAAGAACAAAAATGGAAAACAAAAATACGTCAAAAAATCCCACACGAAAAACCCCACCCCTTGAGAGAGACACAGGCTTTGAGAAATGTTATCATACCAGTTCATGCTACAAGTAATTAAGAGGTAAGACCATAATGGGAAGCGTTAGGTAGCTTCCAGTATAAGCCTGTACCCTTTTATATAAAAATATTTAAAATACAAAGAAAAGAATAAGAATACAGTACACAAAAAGCAGGTTTACAGAATTTCTTAAAGTCTTCTCTAGTTTCTCCCACAAGCTTGAAGTAATCCACAGCTGGAACGACCAACTAAATATTACTGATCTGGGTGGTAAGACTGCTCCCAGGGGATTCCACGAACGCTTCTTTCAATGACACTCCTGTAAGCACAAATTACTTTAAACCCTGAGTGAGAATGTGCTAGGGACAAAATGATTTCCCTTTTGTTACTTGGCTGACACCAGTAGCTGAAAGGAACTGTAAAGAATATAGTTAGTAAAGCAAACAATCTTACAATTCATTCTATACAGCAGAAATTGAATTAATTTGACTGAGGGCTGATAACACCAATTGCTTGACACTAGACCTTGACCAAACTCCATTATTTTTTCAGAACACGACTTTAAAAAGAAAAGAAAAATAATTTCTCTGTCTCAGCTGAAACCAGGACATTCTCAAGCAGCTGAACTATAGTGATACCTTTTATCTATAATTTTAAAAGTTACCTACCTGTTACTACTCACATTTGTAAAGTTTCAAGCCAAAAAGTCTTACTATACAAGCTTAAAGAAACACTACAAATCCTGAACAGCTATTAATATTGCTCCACTGCACATAAAAAAAAAAAGAGTGGAAATACACAGATATTTTTAAAAGAATAGTTACCATTCCTACCGTTGATTTTAGAAGTTATAAAAATTTTTATTAAAGTTTTACTTCAAACAAACAGTAGCAAAACTGGAAGAATTTTCTATTTAAGCTCTCTACCAATATCTACACTAGTGTTAGACACAAGCAACCTCTGTCAGGGCTCAGCAGTGTGCTGCTTGCACAGTACCAGTATTCAACTGCAACTGGATTGCCCATCTTCATCGATTACAAAAAGGAAAGAAAAACACGACTATCAGCTTACATAAATCAATGCGCAGCCTGTTTAGCGAGATGGCCACAGAAATGTCTTCAGTTTTTCTGAACTAAATTATTATAAATAACATTTTCAAGTAAAAAGATAACACAGGAACACAATCATGAAGGAGTAATGGGAAAACATGAAACTAATTTCTTGTATAATTTTCCAAATTTTAGGTTCAGAGCACACACATTTCAAATGAGCAAAGTGTAGCCAACTGAAAAGATTCCAATGATTCGCATGTTCCTATAATATAGCCCTTCATTAAATAACCTATCCACAAGTGAAAAACACACTTCCTTTTCAACAAGCAATATATACAATATATTCAATGTTCTCAGCTAACTAGGAAAGATTTACATTTCCATTCTGGTAGGTGAGTAGGTGTTTTTTGTTCCACAGAAACTGATTTTTTTATATTTAAGCTTTCCCTGTATGTGACAAATAGTATAGACCAAGCTAGGAGGGAAAATAAAGCAAAGGAAATAAAATTAAAAAATAGTTTCCATACATCAGGAGATTGTAGGAAGAGCTAGCGATCCATTAATTCTGCATCCCTAGAACACATATGCCACAACAGTTTGCATTTTATAAGTGCAGAAATCACCCCAAAATAAGTTTTACTGCAAGTATAGAAAAATGTGCGCTACACTGACTGCATCTACACTTGCTGTAGAAGCATAAGATTCTTATTTAGGTCACATTATAAAAATCTATCCATCCATCCATCCTTTACCTTCCTCTCTTCATGTTCCTTCTCTTGCAGTCTACGGATCATATCGTTGGCAGCTTGCACTGAAATAACAAATTGCAGTAGATCAGTCTGCTGTTCTAAATCAAAGGGAAATTTGCCTGAAAGGGATTTAAAAGACATGAGGCTGCTACAAGTCAAAGATATATTCCACTGCGTCACTTAACTCTGCATGAAAAAGAATTGCCAGCACTTGCAGAAAATGCTTTACATCGATAACTGCATGTAGGCATATCACCAAGTTCAACCCCAGTGAGCTCCAGAAGCCAAAAAGAGAAAGGCAGCCATGACCTCTTGTACCCATATTCCTTAGTGTTGCTGATGAGCTAGAGTACACTACTCAGCACCTCGGAAAACATCAAAAAACCTCTCAAGTCAGTAAGTAGAAACAGGTGACCAAGCTCTATGTTTTAGTCTGTTGCTTTTTTTTTTTCTCTTATTTTTTCTCCATCAAATGTAAAAACTGCTTTAGTATAAGCAATCTACATGGAGAGCATCCTTATGCAGCCTCTTCTCTCATGAGATGAAGCCTAGAAAAAACTTGTCATTGGAAACAGAAACTGTATTCCTACGCAAGTTTAGTTCCTAATTTATTTAACACTTAATTAATGCAGAATTTAATAAACTAACTTCCCCAAAGCAGTCATTTCTCCCACTAACACATCTGAGTATCAAGAAATACCTTACTTACTTATCATCATCTTAAAGCTGGTGACTTTTTACCCCAGGAGGCAGGCTCCTGTCCCCATGGGGACTTCCACTTACGTAACAGGTTCACTGCCCTTGGAGCTGACAAGGAGCTGGGAGCACTGTGAATTGGAGCATCTGGTGGCTGAGCCTGAGCCACTCAGGACCATCAGAAGATAGTGGCAACTGACAGTTGTAGCAGACTCCCTACGGCAGGGGACGGAGGCTCCCCACCTGTCGATACGATCTTTTGGTTTGCCGCTTGCCAGGAGCTCACATTTCACCGTTTCACACCTTCATCAGTGACCCTGCTGCTGGAGCAGAGTGCACTCTCAGCAGGTTTGCAGATGATAAAAAAACAGGAATAGTGGCTGATAGATTATACAGTTGTGCTGCCATTCAGAGGGACCCTGAGCAACTGGAGAATTGGGCTGAGAGGAATCTCATGAAGTCCAACACAGGGAAATGACAAACTCCTGCACTGGGGAGGAATAACCCCAGGCAGCAATGTACACTGAGGACCAACAACACAGCCTTGCAGCAAAAAACCAAAGGCCAACAGCATCCTGGGCTGCATTAGGAAGAGCACTGCCAACAGATGAAGGGAGGTGATCCTTCCCCTCTGCTCAGCATGGGTGAGGCCACACCTGTGGTGGTGTGTCTACTTCAGGGCTCCCCAGTAAACAAACCAGAGGGAGTGGCAAGTCCAGCACATGGCCACAAAGACAATTAAGGGACTGGAGCATCTTTCATATGAGGAGAGGCTGAGAGAGCTGGGACTGCTCAGCGTGGAGAAAAGAAGATCCAGGGGCATCTCATCAATGTGCATAAATAGCTGACTGAAGGGAATGAAGATGGGGGAGCCAGACTGTTGTGCTCATTGACAGGACAAGAGGCAGTGGGCACAAACCGAAACACATGAGATTCCATATGGACATAGGGAAATGCTTTTTTTCCAGTGAGAGTGGTGAAACACTGGCAGAGGTTGCCCAGAGAGGTTGTGGAGTGTCCATGTGTAGACATATTCAAAACCCAACTGGACACAGCCCTGGGCAACTGGCTGTAGCCGCCCTGGCTTGCACAGATAGGTTTGGCAAATGACCTTCAGAGGCCCCTTCCCACCTCAACCATTCTCTGATTCTACTACTAATGATGTATTGCACAGCTGACCATTAGCAAGTCAGGGAGTAATATCCTCCTCTCCATTTAGAAGGTATTAGAACATATGCCTTATTTGCATGACTAAATTTTAAGTTTCAAAAATTTTCCTGACATGGTTTTATGTATATAGTATCATCTACCATTTGTTATTCTGACAGATGCCATGTAAATGAGTTATAGGAAATTAAAAGTTTATACAACATGTTATACATAAAATATAACAAAATTCACACTGGCATGTTCTGACTGCATAAATCTGGCAGCTAAAGCTACATAGACACACTCCCTTGAAATACCTTTTTGAGAAGCTATCCCCCTAAATGAGTAAGAAAAAAAAAAGATACTGAAAAATCAGCACAACAAATTGTAAACTTTCTTTTAAAATCTGAGCAATAGAAAAAATATTAGATGGTTACAATGATGAAACTAGGATTAGCATACAACAATTAGTACTACTACCCTATTTGTAACTAACGATAATAATACCAGCACATTTCATAGCTATACAGCAGCAAGCTGTTTTAAATCACAGGGGGCAGTATTATGCTCTCCCATGGAAAAACTAACACAGCACGCTTGCAACAAACCAGAAAACAGAAATTTTGTCCGTGGCTTTAGTCAACATGGAGCACTATCCTGTTTCTATGTGAGCAGCAAAAGATTGAGCTGAAATAGCTCCTACTTAAATCAACAAAAAGCTTTAATGTGACCTTAGCAAGAGATGTGTTGGCTGGATGAATAAATATAAAAAAATGTTCCTGATGATTCCCTTTTAAAATTTCACAAAAATGAAAGCGAGGCACATACCATCCAAGGATGGTAATTTTCCCGCAAATAATATTTTGAATACAAACGATTTAAATTATTCCTCAAAATGATGCAACAAGGGAAATAAGAAGCAACATGCTTACATCTCTTGAATGCTTCATTCAAATTGTCGTGCATTGCCTGCTCACACTTCGGAAGAACGTGTTCATTCGTTTCAAAGATTGTGTTCTTTAGATTTTCAAGTACTCGTAGTTCTCGGAGGCCACGTTTTTCCTGCCAGAAGAATTGAAAGAAAATGAGTGACTAACAAGGAATTCTACTTTCCAAAATAAGATGGTTTCCCAGTTGATAAACCAATACCTTAACCTCAAAGACTATACCATGGTCTAATTATTAAAGTGTTACTCTACTTATTTAGCACAATTGACAAAACTAGTTTTGCGAAAAAAAAAGAGAGTAGCGCTCCATTCTTCACACCAGAATACAGGAATACTTCGAATGATACTTCTGGCCCTTGTGAGAACAGGTAGAACATACTAATGAGAACATTGTGTGAAAGAATGTGTATAGATAATTTACAGCATATCAGAAACACGAGAGAGAAACAGAGCTTGAAAGCATTGCATTTTTATAACTCAGCTGTTACAGGGAAATAACATAGCACTGATTTTCCTTGCTTGACGCCTGACTTTCCAGATTTAGCACGGTACAAGGTTAAAACAATGCAAGTAAAATTGTTTTTACTGAAGTAAAGCAACGAAGTCAAGACTAAAAAATAACACAGCTGACTAAAGAGGCAGCCTTTCTGCTGGCTCACTGCTGATCATGATTAATTACAAGAAGAACAAGCTCTTGCTTCATTGTTTACATTTTAAAACAAGTTAAAAAACCAAAAAAACACTAGTTTTTCTGAAGCCAGAGCACTACTCCTACTCTGAATTTCACCTGCACTTTCCTTTAGACAATGAAAAGGATTCTGAAATCTCCTCCAGGCAGCCACCTGCCCCCCTCTTCAGAGTGATGAGTAGAGTTGCATACAAGCACTCCTATACTGGAAATTGCTTATCATAAAGCAATTGCAGATAAAGAACACTGCATCATATGAAGTGGGCAATTGGATCACCAGACCTGCTTTATAACTTCAGAAATAGAGGCACAGACAAGTAAAGCTGCTTAATTAAACAGGTTCCAGACTTCCTGAATGCAAATCCACATTCTTTACACATTAGATGCTAATCATTGAGAGAAGCAGCTTGCGTCCTGCTACAACCAAAAAGTATCTGATATCTCAAAGTTAGAAACAAGTGTAATTTTTGGAAGAAATTTTAAGTTGCAAAAATGTAAATAATCTTCTGCTTTGCTATCTTCCCCCTCAAAGTATAGACCAGAAAAATTTCAATAAAAGATCAAAGAAAATATGAAATTTGTCTAAGAAACAGAACAAGGCTTTGGGAGTAATAAGAGATATATATGAATTATAAAGATATGAGTTATAATTTTATAGTTGAGTTCAAAATTTTCCTTCCTATGAAGGAAAAACATTAAACTATTTACTGTATCCTATAACTTATTTAGGGAAGGCAAAGAAAAGAAATCATTCCTTACGACTCTCAAGCCCATACAATACACATTTCAGGAGAGTTTAGTTCACAATGTTATTTGCTAAACCAGCAGAGAGACAAATTAGGCATAGTTGAAATATTAGCTACAATGGGGCGAGGAAGACATTTTAACATCATTTTTTAAAAACCAGCTCTGCACACTAGTAGTTTGAAGTATAATTATATTTTCAGGATGCATTTTAAGATTTTTAAATCCCATGTTCTTTAAGAATTAAAATCTACTCAGAAATAGCCTTTTGCTGACACAAGATCCTATTTTTCTAAGCTTCTGCTGCCACCCTGTGGAAACTGTCTTACACTTTCCAAGCAAAGTTGTATATACTTTTACACCTTCAGTACTTTAACCTTATTTGCAGCTGATCAGGTAACAGTCATTCAATTTTTAATGATTTTCTTACTTTGCACAAAGTGTTGCTCTTCTCTTCCAGAAATATTACTTTCGTTTGTGGAACAAAAATTAATGAAAAATCAAATTACAACTGTGCTAGCTGAATCCAGCTGAGGCACAAAGCAGTTTACTAATCAGATGTAAACCTATACCGGCCAACAATATTTTCCTTGAACCAACAGGACTTCTCCAGGACGTTGGGCCGACACCATTCTCCTACATCAATATTCCTGACAGTCTTTTACAGGAAAAATATTTATGCCCCTTTCAAAACATTTAAAATAAAAAGAGCTATATTACTGCGTCGTTTATGAAAGATGCAGACATATAGTATAGGTTTGTTAACTATTTTGGACAAGAAATACATGCCAAGTCTTTCTGAAGAAAATTACATACATATTATAATCTCTAATAAGATTTTTAAACTGTTTAAATTCTTAGACTCTGAAGGTTACAGCACCCAATAATATATAAATACTTACTTCAAATTCTTTAACAAAGTAACGTATTTCTCCCTGAATTACTGGTCTGTGATCCAGTAGTCTTGAATAGATTTCCCCAACATCTGGAAGATTAAAGAAAGTCGAATTTTCAGTTTTTCTCTCACACTCCATACTAGGCTACACAACACAAGGTATCACACCACACTTCAATGCAAACTGCTCATTGAATACATATAAAATCAAAAAAGCACCAGAATAACATTTGTAGGCTATCCTGTCTATTTAGCAAACCACCAACTTAGATAAAATGCCAAGAATCCATGTTCCAGGTGCCACAGACACCTTTCTGCAAAGGTGAACGTTCTCATCTGCCTCTCAGAACCCTCTGCTCCAAGTACAGCTTCCAGATCTAACAGTTAACGTTGGTAGAAATTGGATGCAGAGCAGAACTAAAGGCTGCAGCTCACTACAAAGGAAAACTGTTAGTATCTCCTTGTGTTCCTGGGCCAAAGACTTGAAACCTACTCTTGAAGAAATGTATTTTCAAAATAAACATGTATGAAAAATAGGCTTGGCTGTCATAGAGAAAAAAATCCAAACCATTAAATTTAAAAGCACTCTGAGAGCACAGCAAATAAAAACTATTTCAATAAATAGTGGAGCACCTCCCATAACGAGGACGGGCTGAAAGAGTTGGGGTTGTTCAGCCTGGAGAAGGGAAGGGTCCAGGGAGACCTTATAGCAGCCTTCCAGTACCTGAAGGGGGCTACAGGAGA